ATAATCGCTTCTAATTTAAAAACTATTATAGCCTCGACACTTTTGTATTAGGATTTTCGTCTGGAAATGTTCTAAGGAATCTGTCATTAAGAGGACCTCCGGTGGTTTTAGGACACCCTGTATAATTTTACAATATCCGATATTTAGCTATCGAGAACAAAAATATTTTGTATGTAACATTACTAGATGGATGCGGTATTATTTAAAATGCAATGCATCGCAATATTGCTAAAATGATTCGTTGCAATCTTTCCAAAGATACAGTAATGTTCCGCGACAAATTTGTAACATTGCAATCTTTCAGTGAAATTATCTCGTGGTATAAAATTATTCTGCAATCTTTCTGGGTTACATAAGTATAATTATGTAAACGTTATATAATTTTCGTATGGATTTTTATATACAATGTATTTGAATGCAAAGAGACTCATATATAAAAATGTTTAGCGGAACGCAAATTGATGCATCGCCTTGACATAACGTTGCGAATAACACTTGATGCTCTATCACGCTCGTTCTGCGTTTTATTACTTGTCGTTGAAAGAAAAAAGATTTTTGATATGTTTATTTATGTTACCCCGTTGAGAAACGCGATGTATTTACACCGATTATACACGCGTATCGTCTAAAAATGTATGGTGGACGTATGATATCATCAGTGACGTCATCCTTGGTACCGCGCACAAAACGCAACGCTTCAGTCAGTCGCTGACGGCCGGTGTGCAACAACGCGTTTCCATCAGGTTAGTGCGGCTCACGCATGGCGTGCGCGATTTCTCATGTCATTCTCGATTAAGCGCGCATTGTGGTTAATGATCACTCAGCCGCATATTGGACTAATCTTTCGGTCACACGTTGAATAATTATTTATTCGATCGTATTAAATTGAATAATGTTATATGTGAAAAATAGACGTGCAACAGTTGAAATACGTCGATAATAATTACAACCTAAACTTCGCAAATCTATTGCAGTATTAACGTTACAACGAGATTTTCTTACCGTTAAGAAAATTTAAAAGTCATTTTTTTTACTCTCGTTCACTGGATCCAATTTTGTATCTTTTGATAGAACGTGAGAAACTCGCACATTTTACGCGACTACCGTAAAATTTATTGTAGATATCAATTATACAGATATATTTTATAATGGTTAATGCGCGATTTGCACGTTAGACGTAGAGTCTGTTTCATACATTTTAAAGTTTTTCTCGATTCTACAAAGTTACGAATTTTAATATATTAACAGTAGCACGAGTTAATTTTAAGTTTATTCGTTACAACAGACTAAATTATTTAGAGAACAAATTATTAATGTGAAAAATATGAGCAAAGAATGTTATTCTTACGGTAAAATATAATAGGCGATATTTCGGAGAAGTTTTACAAAGATTTATCGGTGACGGTGACAGATCCAGTCCTAATCAACGGCTCCTATAAACTTTTAACTCACGTCTTACGTGTGTGTTCTGGATACTTAAAAATAACCCATGACTACACGAGCGAACGTTTGTTCGTCCGTAGTGTGGGCGCGCCTCTGAATTTCCGTGATGCCAAATTTTCGCATCATTGACTTTAATATTTCTCAGTACCGTAGGGTAAACCGTTGTCTGTCTTGTCTTTAATACAAAACTTGTAAAATTCTTTCTCTTTCCCAAAAAATAGATATCTCGAAGTTGTTTAAAAAAAATCTCAAGAATCGCACGCGTAATCTTTCTAAAAAGTACACGAAAAGTTTCAGTTCTCAAATTAAATCTCCTTATTTTAATGTTTATTAATGGTAAAATACAAACTACGATTCTTTCTGCTGAACATTTTTTAATAGTTGTACTTTCCATTGTTTATTTAAAAAAGATGGATCGTTATTATTTTGTATAAAGATTGTGGTCCATTTTATAATTTTATATTTTTCTGTGAAATTTGTCCACATATACATATACTTGTATAATAAATCACTGCAACCGATGTAAAATATTTATTTTTATGTAACTCTTACTGTGAACTATTTAATTGTTTATTTTCTTTATCAGAGTAGTATGACGGAATTACGATTTTTACAATAAAAAAAATTACGGTCTTGAAATCACATGTTAAATTTAATCATCATTTAAGCAAAAAATGTAGCGTCATAACTATTAAACACATAGAATTTAATAGAACTATCACACTAATTGTATTATTGTTACCTTTAGCTCTGAGCTAACACTCAGAATTAAAATACTTTCCTTGTCATTGTACTCGTGGCTTCTCCTCAATGGGAGAAAGTAAATTCGAAGGTCTCCACGCACTATCGATCGGGCGAGCTTAAAGGGTGTGTCAGGATGTTCCAGACCCTCAAAGGATGCTTCGCAATGGAAATGTTTTCGTGTGTCTATGCAGTTTATCCATGGAGCATACGATATCAAGCCGATTTATTTATCATTGAAATTGAAATGCTTTCGAATAATGTCTTATTTTTAACAAATTAGATCTTGTAATTGCTTGTATATTACATTATTAAAGTCATATATATACATATACATAGGACTTATATACACACACATACACACACTTTCGAAAATACAAGTATCGAATTTCGTGGGGAAATGAAGAAACAAAGGATTCTCGTTCGATGTAGGTCACGTCTGGAAATCTTGACCCTGTCCTACTTGACGCACGTAAACGTTCCCGCTTACGCACATTGAATGGAATCTTTATAAATGACGATAGGCAACAGAAAATAATCATCTTCCGTTTCAGAATTAATACTAGAACGAGGTAGCGATGTCCCATTCAGTGACGATTAGAACGCAAACAGTGACGAGCAGCTCGGCGACGATAGTCCTCAACACTGGCTACTTGAAAACTTGGAGTGGTATTTTAAAGCTGCTACAGTTGGTAGGCATCTTATTATTATCGCATTAATTTTTTTAACTTAGGTTATTATTAATATATTCCTTCATCAGTTTGAATATTTGTCATTTGCATATTTTCTACTGCAAAATATTTTCTTATATTTTCTCTAATTAATTATCGATAGTAGCGATAATTTCTAATAAATATATAAGATATAAATTTCAAGTACAAATAGCAAATGCTTTATAATTAATATAATTTAAATTTACGAAA